TGTGTGTGTGTGTGTGTGTGTGTGTGTGTGTGTGTGTGTGTGTGTGTGTGTGCAGGGAGCCTCCCTACCTAGGGGTTGTGCATGGGCTTGTTACAGCAACATTCCTCCACTCAGCTGCTTCTGAACAGCACATTCCAGAAAGAGAGAGAAAAAAGAGAGAATAAAAAAGAGGAGAAAGGAGGAGAGAGAGAGAGATGAAAAGAGGGGGAGTGAGAGAGGAGGAAGTTTAGAGAGACTCGCTGTTGAGAAGGGGGATAGAGCTGGACAGGCAAAGGAAATTAGTTAAAGGGTAATAATAATATGATATGTAATCGATCCCTGTTGTGAAATTGTGTCTCCCTTCTCCTCCACGCGCAGGTCGGAGGTCAGGGTCAGATGCGGTACGCGGCAACCAGAGCCAGCGCTGAGAAAAGGAAGTTACAGAGCAGAGGCCACGAGGTCAATCTTAAAATATTATCCTCCATACAGCCACAAGACACACACACAGACAGAGTACAGTAGACCACAGAGTTCTGTTTGGTGTGTGTTCATGTCCTCCGTCTGCTTGACCTGTTTCTAATGAACTGTGGAGGGAAGAAGCAAATCTCATCACAGACACACACAGACGAATAATTTCAGCTCCATAATTACACTTCTTAATACAGCCTCATGAGAAAAACCCAAAAAAGGAGCTTGTCGTACACGTATATATACATGTTTCATTAAAAGAGAAGGCGTTTAAACATAAAAGGACGCATGCAAGACATCAGAGCAGCAACTTTTGAATAATAGAGGCAAATTTAAAGTGAGATTTGCATAAAACCTAATAAACCTTAAGTTTGTTTGTCCTAAATACTTTGTAATTGCACTTTATAGACAGTCCTGTATGCATAAAGACAATACTACTACTACACTATTAGGCAAATATTCAACATAATCAAGACTTTACTGTCTGTAGCTGTAAGTAGCAGATTAAAGTAATTTATTGTAAGTTATGATTAAAGTTAAAATGACGTTGATGACATGAATGTACACAAGCACAAGCCTTGATCAAATCCTATATAACTCCATTTTTTTTTACTGGTTTTCAGTACAGGATTTGTTGTGTGTACAGCAAAGTCGAATTAATTCAGAATTAAGATCACAGATGCTCAAACTTACTGCACACTGGAGCTGAAACAATTTGTAGATTAATTCGTTAGTCGATTAATAGGATATTGATCAGCAACTTTCTTTGATTTTGAAGTGTTGGCTGGAATAAATAATATGTCGCCTTGGACGTGTTTGCAATTTAAGGACCTTCAATGGACAAATAATAACATTTAAGAAAACTATAGGCTGATGATTTAATAATGAAAATAATCAATATTTGCAGTCTTAATATACACTCACAAGCATAGATCTCTTTCAGTGCACAACTAAGGATGGTTAGATTTGAGTCAGTTCACCCTCTGAGATTAAATCAACTTGGACACCATCATCCTAGATGTTACCAACATTGGGGAAAATTGAGGGTTCCACATGCTACAAAACGCCTTTTTGACCAAGCCTATTTACAAGTAGGATTTCTCGGTCCATACATCGCATATGATTATTTTATGTACTGGCACAGAGCTGGAAATCCAATGATTCTTTCTGTTTTTGCACTTTTTGGCTCTGACGATGCCTTTCAAAACTGCCAGTGATTTTTCGTGGGTTCAGAGGGTAAAGAAAGACGAGGGAAAAAATGAAATTATAAGAAGAGGGAAGCAGCTGAAGCTTCTGTTATCTGACACAAAATGAATCTGCTAAATGAGGACACAGCAAAAACACAGGGATAGAGGGGAAAGAAAACAAAGAAAACACTGAATATTTACTGGGATAACAAGCAAATAAGTTTCAAGACAAGGGCAACAACAAGCAGTTTGTGTGAGTAAAAAGCTTGTTGGCTCAGTGACAGCGTCCCCTCTCCTTCTCCCTCTTACTCACACTGAATGGATGGGTTTGTTTGTTGTCACTGGTAGAACTAAAGGAAAACAAAGTGACTCGATTCCCCTCTCTCCTTGTGTGTGTTTATTGGAAGACAGTTCATCATGCATAAGTGTCTATTGAGTTCCCGTCCCCCCGACAGCTCTATCCAGAATACCAATTTGCTTCCTCTGTTCTCCTCTTTATCTGTGTCGCTCTTTTTCTCGTCACTTTGTCAGTTACATCAAATTTAAATGATCTGGATGCTGAAATTAGCATCCCTAAACATAATGATGTAATACGTATACAATATTAATCTGCTGCTAGTACTAATACTGTCACATTTCATGGTATAGTACAACAGCTTATGGCACCTCTACCATAATAATGACGACAGGAACTTCACTCTGTGTTTCTTTAAATTCAGATTTATTTGCATCACCGCTGCAAAAGTGAGTACGTGACACAGCGTATTATCTAAACACACACTTGCACATACGAGAGAATTATATAGCCATGTGACCATAAAGGGGAAAGTTACATGATACATTTGTTTGTGTCTATTTCTGGCAATATCGTAATCCAGATTATATATCTGACCCGTTAATCTGCAGGTTGTGCAGCTTCTTCATTCAGAGCTTTACATCTATCTATCTATCTATCTATCTATCTATCTATCTATCTATCTATCTATCTATCTATCTATCTATTAGTTATATTGTAATATATTTTTGGTTTGGTTTTTAAATCAAACCTACATAATAATTTGTTCTATTTTATTTGATCCTGATTTACCTCATTTTGACAGTGAGGAAATGTATAAAAATGACAGGCACGCATTAAGATTTAATTTTTCTTTTTCTTTTGTAGTAATTTAATCATGGTTTTAATTTTCTATCGGAGTAACTTTAAAAAAAAAACTACAGCTTTATTTTATTCAAGCCAAGGTCATAGTTTTGATGATGAGCCAATATTACACACATTTAGATTGAATATTTACTCTTCTATTCAGTAACATTTATATATATATATAATCAAACTTATTTAGAATTTTTTTTTAAATTTAATTTAATTTTTTTTTTTTAGCATAATTAAACTTATGTGGTCATTTTAACAGTGCTGAAACATAACAAATATATATATTTAAATTTTAAATATCTTTTGTAGTCTTTTTTCGGATTAAACTTAAGTAGTAACTACTTTATAACATATATATTATGTAAGTTAAATGAAGGTTGACAATCACAAATCCGTAAAGATGATAGAATCAGTCCTTACATTTCTTATATAGTAATTTTTGTTTGTTTGTCGTATCTTAAAACAAACTTATCTTATTATGTTTCATTTTAACTGAACCTAGACAGTAATTTTGACAATGATGACTGAATTATTTTTATTTTATTTTATTTTATTTTAATCGAATTCATGCAATTCACTTTGACGATGACGAAACGCGACCAACCGACTGACACACATTCTATCCAATCAGACTTGACTATTTGCTCGAGCTACATCCCCAATAGCCAATGAAGTTCTAATTCCTGGTCTCGACTGTCCAATCAGTGACCGCTGTATCCTGGAAGGGGAGGGCCTGTGCCTGCGTTGGCTTTGCCCAGTCCGGATGTTCCCCAGTAGCGAATAACGAGCAGCAGTGTGTGAATGTGGCACCCGAGGTAGACAGGGAGGGGTAGATAGACTGACCACACCGGGCTTTTTGTCTTTTTTCTTTATTTTTCTTTTCTTGCAGGGCCTAGTGTTTACACTTTACATCCCGCCGCGGTTGTAAACTTGTTTCTGGGGCACAAAACCGGGCCGCTGCTGCTTTTCTCCGGGACTAACGGCTGTCGTTGTGAAAACAGTCCAGAAGAAAGAAGGAGAGGGAGAAACAACATGGGGCGATAATAAAAAAAAAAAAAAAAAGGTGTTGTGTTGTGAGCCGACGATGACTCTCTGGGAGGACCCGTGAAGCTTATTTATTTTTATTTATTCCCCCCTCTTCCCTTTCCCTTGTGCCCTCGTTTGTTTTATTTTTAAAATCTCTCCTCCCCCTGCTAGTTTGGGAGACAGTTTTTTTTTTAAGGAAAAGCCACCGGGATACGTTACAAGAGGACTGAAGGATGGACCAAGCCGGCATCCTGAGAAAGTTTATCCAGGGGGTGAAGACCATGAGCGAGGGGGACGAGGAGAGGGGAGAGGACAACTTCGGCAGCGACTTTATGGTGGGTCAAAATTACCAGAAGCCACAGCTAGCTTCTATTTATCTTCTGTCTATCTCACCCAGACCGCTATCTCCTCTCCACCTTTTCCTCCATACTGACTGACCCTCCATGTCCCCACCCCCCCTCCTTCCCCGTCTCCCGGTTCACTGTATCCCCCAGGAGGTGAGGCAGGGGCGGCCACACTGCCCTCTTCCTTTTCCTCCCATTTCCAGGCTTTACATGGCGGCCTAGCATTGTCTCCCACACCACAGAAACACCACCGACTCCTGTTTCTTTAAAATTAAAAAGGCAAACAAGACACATTGAGGTCTGTCTCCAGCCCTGGGCTAATTCGTGCTGCTGGAGCAGCTTAGCTTGTAGCTGAATGCTGGGCTAAAGTGCAGTGTTATTGTGGCTATTGCTCACTGTCTGTTAACCAAATGGCTGTTGGGGTACAGTGTCATGATTCATTGTCCTCCTAAGATGCTTAATTACCAGTTAATATCCACAGAACTGAGCTTAATTGCATGTATGATCTCCTATGGCTTTCCTGTGTTCCTGTACATAGTTTTGTCATGGTGTAATGCTTGAAAGCTCTATTAAATATTTATGGGATGACTGCATTTACTTATTTGGTAAAGGTTTTGGGTAGATCTGTACTGTAGTGGATGATGAAGCCGCCCACATACATTTGCTAAATATTAGACACACAACAATAACGCAATCAAATTTGAGGGCGCCACAAACTACACCCCCTGAAAGGAGCAGTTCAAAGTAAAGCCAGGATATAGTGTAGGGTTGTTGCATTAATTTTGCTCTAGGTGTAAATAAAAGACAGGCAACTTAGTGTAAACCCAGCCTTTGTTTTCTCATCCTATCTCTCTGTAATCGTCGGCCATGTCTTGTTTGTGGTTTTGATTCATTTGGAAGTACATAACACGCGTGAGAAGGATCATTCGAAACTGAAAAGTCATTTTTTGGTGACATATTTTGTTTGTCTGATGATAATCGCTGACCCGCAGTCATAAGTTTGCCCTTGCTGCATCACTGGATGTTACTGTGTTGCAACTCCGGACTCAAAATAGGACCTCTCCCAGGCTTGTGAAATAGCTGGGATAGCCACAACAGGAATGGCACATTTATAATAGCATTTGTATCATTAATTAGCCTTTTGCTGTAATGACTTTGATTCGGATGTGTTTTGAGAAGTTGGTTCAACAGCAGGATACTTGTAGGTTGAATTTACTGTCTGTATTTTGCAACTCTGTAAGTCACTGGAGAACTGAGTTACAGGTTCACTAGTAGCAGCTTGTAGAAGGTTAGGTTTGGATTTTCTTTATAATACACATCTTTCAGGCAAGTTTGTAAGTTTTCATTAGTTTAACTGTATTGCAGTTTGATTTTCTATGAAGGAAGGAAGATAATCAGAGTTAGAACGGTTAACTTTTTCTCCTCTTGCCTACAGTTACAAACAAACACACACACACACACACACACACACTCCTTACTTCCCTACTTCATGCAAGCTGCTTGCTGGAGCTTGCAACATTCTTTCTTGGCCCATTTCATAACATTTTGTTCTGGCTTTAAAAGTGGAACTTTGTCAACTCTTTGGCAAACTTTGGATCAAGGCTACATTATTTGACAGGCCTCTCTTGCTGAAAATCAACAAATTCTGTAATAAGTAGAGCTCCACGACTATGCCTGATTGTGTCCCGGTGGCTTGTTCTGTGCTTTGAGTGTGAGCTCCAGAAAACAGGGAGTTGGGAGATGTTGCGCAAAAACTACCAGGGGCACTGGGCTGCGTTAGAGGAAGTGCTTTATGGACGGAGCAAAGGAGCAGGGACTAGTCTGCTGTTGACTTTTTTACAGACCATTCATTTCATAATGTATGTCATCATCAGAGATACAAGTGAACTATTATACGATAGACATTTAAGTGGCATATCAGTGTGTCAAGTATAACTTATGACTGAGCATAGATTTATGAATTTTTTTATTGGCGCCTGGTTTCTCTACCTTAATGTCATCATGTAGAGTTAAATGCAGGGTCTTCTTTTAGCTCCACCGTACTTCTCATTCATAACATTAGCATCCACACCTAGCCAAACCGCCTACTACAACCACAGTCCTCTGCTGGTGGACAAGCAATGTTCTATTAAAACTGGTTGTTGACACGAGTGTCCGTTTATCAGCTTTCCCAGCAAACTATCCGTCCCTACTAAAACTGGCATCATTTAGATCAGAAACCCCCTTTTTTTTCAAACTAAAAGGACACCATTGACTGCTTATCGTGCCTTGATTCTTGATTATTTGTGTGATGCCAGTTGTTCCCCTTGAATTTATTACCATGAAATACCATAATTCGTCTCTACAGTGAAACATATTTCCTGTTAGCCTTTAGGCTATCATGCATCTCTCCAGACAGTAACTTGACTATTAAACGGCTCTTGTAAACTTCATCATTGGGGCTTGTAACTGCATTAATTTGATCTGATTAATCACAGTAATCGAGCTATTTTTGTATATGCTGAATGGAAGCTTTATGGCGTTCACGTCGTAGTGTGGCTTCAAGCGAAAGTTCTCTCACAGCTGCCAACCTCTGAATGTTGAGTTCCACCTAAATTATTTAACAAACACGCCAGCTTGCAGGCCAGAAAACTTGTCCTGATTGAGTACAGGTGGGCTGCGTGCCAGCGTACCAAGCACAATTAAAACTCATCCGCCGCAGCCAACATCTAAGTAAGTGCTTCAGCTATTTGCTGGTAGTCTGTTGTACCAATTTCGAGTCTTGTGTGAAGCTTTCAATTGCTGGAGTCAAACTCACAATACCGCAAGCGCATGGGGTGTGCTCCTCTGCGCACTGACTCACCAGAACACCCTGACATAACACCCACTTTAACTGCCTATTGTTGTTTATATATAGAATGTGTTTTATAGGCATAATTACAGGCTCTGGTGGGGCAAGGAGTCAGAGATTATACGCTTTGTTCAGTCCTCTTTTTTGACTGTTTGATGCAAGGGGGACACTACAGATTTTTTTTTCTACCTGGCTACCACCCAAATGTGAGAAGTATCATGTGATGCTTGACGCCATCAGAAACATTCATGTGACCCATTTTGACTGTCGTAAATAGCATGTCTTTGTTTACAGAGATTTAATTTCAGTGGCCTTCATATACAGTAGAGGCAAATTACAAGGTATGCACTGGGCATATGCTATAAGTATGTCAGGACCTCCTATGAACTGCCAACAGAAACATGATAAGCAGAGGTGAAGATGTAAATTGGGTACATTTTTGGTCCTAATTCTGGTGCTACAATCATTTTAAGAGCTGGATTACATGTTGCTAAACCCTCAAAAACATAAAACATAGTAGACAGCATGTGCACATAATTTCTTGACAAACTATCTTCCGTTTTCTGGTGAGTATGTGACAGATTATGTGTTAATGTTGAACTAAACAGCACTGAATGTCGGTGAATTCAAATGGCAGCCAGAGCTTCAGTCGCAATTCGAAAGATTTAAGGTCCAGCTATGATATCTCGAAACATGTCATCAGTATAAGGTACACAGTATGATTATTTTAACCAATCTGGTCTGGTGATGATGGCTTAATCCAAAAAATACAAATTGGATAAAAGGCAAAATATGTACTGTTGGGTTCTGGAGTCTGTCCCATGACGCAGGTTCTGCAAAATTGGTCCATCTGTGCAGTTGCTGGTTCCGCAAAACCAAACAATGGCAATCTTACTTGTTTCACAAGGGTGGTTATCAACTGGCTCCGTCAACCCACGACTTTCCAAACCAGCTATTAGTGCACTTATGTAAGAGAGTTTTTTTTTTCCCAACAAATAGTCGATTGCAGAAGCAACAATATGGACATATTCAGAGAAGAGAATTTAAGATAAGATAAAGTGTTTGGCAATTGGTGAAATTTGTTTAACACAGGAACAAGTATAATGTTATACATTATGTCATATGATTCAGCAGGTAAAAGGTAACTACATTTAATTACCCAGAGTTGAACACAAAAAATGCAAAGTAAGTTGCCTAAAAAGCAAAAAAATAAATAAATAAATAAACATGACAAAGAAGAAAGATACTGCAATTCAAAGTTCTGTAAATGTAGGCTTGTGACTGTTTATGTGAGGATAAATTGTCGTTTAAGAGAAATAGATAGATGAGCTTTAAATGTACGATATTTTAAAGCATAAATGTTAGTAATATATAAAGTAGGACAACAAAATATTTGCTTTTGTAAGTCTGGAAGATTTAGCCTGAGGTAAACTGGAAGTGGCCCGACTATAAGACAGTCCCACATATCACATGATGCTGGCAGGCTAGTCAGCTGTCCAGCTAAAAGCACTGTAAAGAGCACCCAGTCACATCTACTGATCACGACACACCATAATCCATTTTGTAGGGCTTTGGCTTTGCAGTTTTTTACGTGACCACCCCCTTTATAATGTGAATTTGTATTTTTCCTTTGCTGCTAATGTTTTGATTGTAATGAGTACATCCAAATACAATGGATTGGGTGTAAAATGATAAACTGTCATAAGTACTGCTGTGACCAAATTCATCCCAAGTTTTACTGCTGACTCACAAATCTGGCTGCATGAAACAAGCTTCACTGTTCTGCAGGGAAAGCGCTCGCTGTCTTGGAGACTGTATTTTGCAGTTCTGATGTGTCTGTGGGCAGGGAATGGGTTGTTTTCTCTGGTTTGGCGATCTAGAGGCAGTGTTCTCTGTTACCTTTATTTATTGTACACAGTTATACACTAGGTATATGTTGCTGTAGCAGTAATACTTTTAGTACAGTCAGAGTATAGAGTTCAGTTCAAGGCCAAGTTGATTGAACACACAGCTGTTGATAGACATACAAGCTGAAAGGATTGAGCTTGTGACCTCTATGTTATGGGAAACGTTCTATAAGTAGTGGGACACCGTGCAGCCTGATAGAAACATTTAGTGAATGCTTCATTCCAAAATAAATCACTCTGTTGTATGCATGGAT